ACCAAGATTGTACCACTGCACTCCAGCCTGGCTGACAGAGTGAGACTCCATCTCAAAAAAAAAAAAAAAAAAAAAAGGTATTTTTATGGTTTGTTTGAATCAGAATTCAAACAAGGTACATACATATGACTGATATGTCTTTTAGATCTTCTACTCTATAAATTTCACCTCCATACCTTTCTTTTCCTTTCTTCTTCTTCTTCTTTTTTTTTTTTTTTTTAAGAGATGGGGTCTTGCTATGTTGCCCAGGCTGGTCTTAAATCCCTGGTCTCAATAAATCCTCCTGCTTTGGCCTCCCAAAGTGCTGGGTATTGAAGGTGTGAGGTACTGTGCCTGGCTCTCTTTCTTATTTTTTGCCTTATAATTTATATTTTGTGAAAAACAGGCCCTTATCCTGTAGCAGTTCCCAGAGTCTCGATTTTACTGACTACATTCGTAGTGTTTAACACTTTGCCGCCTTCATTTCCATTAATTTGGTGTTGGATACATCCCACAATAACTGCACCAGTTGCTCAGTCTATAATGCTGATCAAGCACTGAATCCAACACCAAATTAATTTCCAGTGTGTTACTTTCTAATTGTTACATTGTTGTCATTCTAAGTTAAGTGGCCTGTGAAATCAATGTTAAAGAGTAATAACTGGCTTTTTATGATAATGGAATAGAATACAATAGAAAGTATCAGTGCACCCTGTATAATAAGAATAATTATTATTTTGCGAAACTTTTTTCCACCATGGATATGTGTATTGGGAACTGGGTTACTATGTAGAATATGGTTCTTAGGCGTTATGGTCAAATATTTGAAGAACACTGTAATATGTAGGATTTTTTTAAAATTTAAAAACAACATACGTTCTTTTTGAAGAATTATGGGAAAAAAATAGAACCATTAGAAATAGGACTATCCTAGGGATATTAGTTTCTTGTGGCTACTGTAACAAATTGCCATATACTAAATAAATATGTAAAACAACACATTTATTCTGTCAGTTCTGGAGGCCAGAAGTCTGAAATCAAGGAATTGGGGCCACACGCCCTCCAAAAGCTCTAAGGGGGAGTCCATTCCTCGCCTTTTCCAGCTTGCAGTGGCTGCCGGCATCTTGGCATTCTTGGCCTATTCCTTGACGTGACTCCAATCTCTGCCTCCATTCTCATGTCACTCACTCCTCTGGCTTCTCTTTTTCTGCGTGTTACAGATCTCTTTCTGCCTCTCTCTTTTTTTGTTGTGGTTTGATACAGACTTTAACACTGTCGCCCAGGCTGGAGTGCAGTGGCACAACCTTGGCTCACTGCAACCTCTGCCTCCTGGGTTCAAGCGATTCTCCTGCTTCAGCCTCCCAAGTAGCTGGAACTACAGGCACACGCCACCACACCTGGCTAATTTTTGTATTTTCAGTAGAGACAGGATTTCACCATGTTGGCCATGCTTGTCTTGAACTCCTGACCTCAAGTGATCTGCCAAAGTGCTGGGATTACAGGCGTGAGCCACCGCGCCAGGCCTCTGCCTTTATCTTAAAAAAGATACTTGTCGTTGGATTTAGGGCCCACCTAGATAACCCAGGGAGATTTTCTCATCTCAGGATCCTTAATTCTATCTGCAAAGACCTTTTTGCTAAATAATGTTCACGGAGTCTGGGGATTAGGACATAGACTTCTCTTTTGGGGGTACCACCTTTCAAACCACTACACTAAGTGAAAAGTGAAATGTTGATCTCTACATCCCCCAACACTCCACCCAGGCTAGCATCCCAAATAGAAGCGTTAAGATGTGAAAAATTCTGCGGAACATTAGTGTAAAGCTTCTAGTGGAAAAATGATGACCAAGCATAACATTATGAGATCAGAGCTTAAGTAGGTTTAATATCCTCCCTGGTAATCTGCAGTGCCAGTATTGCCCTGTCTTCTCTGTCTGGTGAGGCCTACTTTTCCCCAGAATTAGAGTAAAATTCTTCGGTATCCTTAAATTGTCCTTACTTACTCCTGCAGGTTCATGAATACTTAGGGGCAGAATGTAGGGAGGACATGCCATTCATTTCTTTGTGGTTTTTAAGGTCAACTTCATAATATAAGAGAGGGAGAACAAGTTAGTTTGTCATGCTACATGCTTGGAAGTCAGAACACAAATCTGTCATCAGTACAGCCACCTGTCCAGGCCAGACAGTTTCCCTGCCAGCTGGCCTCCATGGGACGTTCTCCAGGAAGCCAGCACATGAACAGGGAAAATCCCTGCCCACTGTTGAGGCTATCCTTGTGGGTGAAAAGGGAATGTCCCTTGTGGTCCTGGAAATCTCCCTGTGGCAAGGTCTGAGTAGGGTATGATGAATTGAATAGGCCAGGATGGATCCTGGCTCAAGACTAGAGTGGAATAGAAGGCCATTATGAAGTGAGAAATTAGAAAACTGGTGTCAGGAGGGGGATCGCTATTTCACACACTTGAGAATTTGGAAAGGAATTACTGCACATTCCTAAACTGATGTCTCTGTTACCCAGGCTGAAGTGCAGTGGCATGATCTTGGATCACTGCAACCTCCACTTTCCGGGTTCAAGCAATTCTCCTGCCTCAGCCTCCTAAGTAGCTGGGATTACAGGCGCGCCTGGCTAATTTTTGTGTTTTTAATAGAGTCGGGGTTTTGCCATGTTAGCCAGGCTGGTCTCAAACTCCTGACCTCAGGTGATCCGCCTGCCTCAGCCTCCCAAAGTGCTCAGATTATAGGTGTGAGCCACCATGCCCAGCCAAACCAAATTTTACTAATTGATAAATCAAAGGACTGTTGTTGGTCATGTGATAAGAATAGCTAGAGCTGGGTGTGATGTCTCATTCCTGTAATTCCAGCACTTTGGGAGGCTAAGATGGGAGGATCACTTGAAGCCAGGAGTTCAAGACCAGCTAAGTTAACATAGCAAGACCCCATCTCTAAAAAAATAAAAATAAGTAAAATAAAAAGAATAGCTGGGGACTAATGAATGTGGACAGTTTGTAAAAATAAATTGAAATATTGTTAGTCTTCTTTATATTCCTAGAAATCAATGTTCCACATGTATCCCACAACTCCTTACAACTCCCAGATACAAAAATACTCACTGTAAGAAAAAAACCCCATAAAACCAAACTAAACCAGACAATAGAAATCCCAATAATCTCATTACACAAAGAAAAGCCCCTATAAGCATTTTGTGTAATCCTCTAATAGTATATTTCTGTTTTCATCTAAGGTACTTTCATTTGAGGCTGGGCTCAGTGGCTCACACTTGTAATCTCACCACTTTGGGAGGCTGAAGTGGGAGAATCTTAAGGCCAGGAGTTTGAGAAGAGCCTGGGCAACATAGCGAGATCCTATCTCTACAAAAAGTAAAAAATTAGCCGGGTGTGGTGGTGCATGCCTGTGGCCTGGCAGTTCAGGAGGATTGCTTGAGCCCAAAAGTTTGAGGCTGCGGTACATTATGATCGTTCCAGTACGCTCCAGCCTGGGTAAATTAAAAAATGAATAAATGAATGTACTTTCATTTGAACAAATCAGTGTTACTGCTGAAACATTTATTTCTGTAATGACCCTTGTCTTCCTTTCTTGTACAGGAACCAATAGATCTTCTAAAGGAAGAAGCCTTATTGGTAGGGTTGATGGCACATTCCACGTCACTGGAAACGGAGTTACAGTTGAACAAGCCTTTTCTGTGGATGAGTCTTCTGCATCTGTCCTCACTGGAAAACTGACCACTGTCTTCCTTCCAATTGTCTACACAATTGTATTTGTGGTGGGTTTGCCAAGTAATGGCATGGCCCTGTGGGTCTTTCTTTTCCGAACTAGGAAGAAGCACCCTGCTGTGATTTACATGGCCAATCTGGCCTTGGCTGACCTCCTCTCTGTCATCTGGTTCCCCTTGAAGATTGCCTATCACATACATGGCAACAATTGGATTTACGGGGAAGCTCTTTGTAACATGCTTATTGGCTTTTTCTATGGCAACATGTACTGTTCCATTCTCTTCATGACCTGCCTCAGTGTGCAGAGGTATTGGGTCATCGTGAACCCCATGGGGCACTCCAGGAAGAAGGCAAACATTGCCATTGGCATCTCCCTGGCAATATGGCTGCTGATTCTGCTGGTCACCATCCCCTTGTATGTCGTGAAGCAGACCATCTTCATTCCAGCCCTGAACATCACGACCTGTCACGATGTTTTGCCTGAGCAGCTCTTGGTGGGAGACATGTTCAATTACTTCCTCTCTCTGGCCATTGGGGTTTTTCTGTTCCCAGCCTTCCTCACAGCCTCTGCCTACGTGCTGATGATCAGAATGCTGCGATTTTCTGCCATGGATGAAAACTCACAGAAGAAAAGGAAGAGGGCCATCAAACTCATTGTCACTGTCCTGGCCATGTACCTGATCTGCTTCACTCCTAGTAACCTTCTGCTCGTGGTGCATTATTTTCTGATTAAGAGCCGGGGCCAGAGCCATGTCTATGCCCTGTACCTTGTAGCCCTCTGCCTCTCTACCCTCAACAGCTGCATCGACCCCTTTGTCTATTACTTTGTTTCACATGATTTCAGGGATCATGCAAAGAACGCTCTCCTTTGCAGAAGTGTCCGCACTGTAAAGCAGATGCAAGTATCCCTCACCTCACAGAAACACTCCAGGAAGTCCAGTTCTTACTCTTCAAGTTCAACCACCGTTAAGACCTCCTATTGAGTTTCCCAAGTCCTCAGATGGGAATTGCACCATAGGATGTGGAGCCTGTTTAATGTTATGGGGATGTGTCTCTTATTTCCTAACCAAACGCATCTCACCGCATACCATGTGGATGCAGCACCTCTTAGGATTGCTAGGAGCTCCCCTGTTTGCATGAGAAAAGTAGTCCCTCAAATTAACATCAGTGTCCGTTTCAGAATTCCTCTACTCAGATGTCCCCAGAAACTGAACCAACAGAAGCAGACTTTTCAGAAGATGGTAAAGACAGAAACCCAGTAACTTGCAAAAAGTAGACTTGGTGTGAAGACTCACTTCTCAGCTGAAATTTTATATATATATATATATATATATATTTTACAACTGGGATCGTGATAGACTTGTTAGGGCTTCAAGGCCCTCAGAGATGATCAGTCCAATCGAATGACCTTACAAATGAGGAAATCAAGATAAATGAACTACCAGAATCAGGTTTCCAATCAACAGCAGCGAGTTTGGACGGTAGAATTTCAATGTCCAGTGAGTGAGGTTCTTGTACCACTTCATCAAAATCATTATGGATCTTGGCTGGGTGCAGTGCCTCATGCCTGTAATCCCAGCACTTTGGGAGGCCAAGGCAGGCAGATCACTTGAGGTCAGGAGTTTGAGACCAGCTTGGCCATCATGGCAAAACCTCGTCTCTACTAAAAATACAAAAGTTAACCAGGTGTGGTGGTGCACATCTGTAATCACAGTTACTCAGGGGGCTGAGGCACAAGAATCAAGTATCGCTTTAACTCAGGAGGCAGAGGTTGCAGTGAGCTGAGATCGCACCACTGCATTCCAGCTTGGGTGATAAAATAAAATAGTCATGGATCTTGTTAAAATGCAGATTCCTCAGATTCAGTAATGAGAGCTCAGACTCTGGGAACAGGGCCCAGGAATCTGTGTGGTACAAACCTGTATGATGTTTATGCACACGAAGATTTGAGAACCATTGTTCTAAATGCTACTTCCATTTGACAATGATAGTTTTCAAAAAAAGAAGCAAACAGTGGTGTCTCTTTTATGTTCAACTTATAATGAAATCTGTTTGTTGACTTATTAGGACTTTGAATTATTTCTTTATTAACCCTTTGAGCTTTTGTATATATTATTATTCAAGAAAAATACAATCAGGATTTTAAACGTGTAAATACAAATTTTGTATAACTTTTTATGACTTCAGTGAAATTTTCAGGTAGTCTGAGTAATAGATTGTTTTGCCACTTAGAATAGCATTTACCACTTAGTATTTAAAAAAATTATTGTTGAAGTATTTATTGTCAGTTTTGTTCACTTGTTATCTAATACGAAATTATAAAACTTTCAGAGAGTTTGGACCACATCTCTTTGGAAAATAGTTTGCAACATGTTTAAAAGGTACTTGATGCCAAACTGACTTTATACAATGATTGTATTTGTGACTTTTAAAAATAATTATTTTATTGTGTAATTGATTTATAAATAACATAACTTTTTTTACAGCTTATTTCTGAGTTGTGTGTTTGTTTTGAGGGAAGGAGTGAGAGAAGGGAGGCAACAGCTTCACCCCTCTAAAAGGAAATGATGGACACTCACACCAAACTCTGTGACAACTGTTTTTCATTTAAAAATGTTTTTAGAGGACTGGCACTGTGGCTCATGTGTGTAGTCCCAGCACTTTGGGAGGCCGAGGTGGGTGGATCACCCGAGGTCAGGAGTTCAAGACCAGCCTGGCCAACATGGCAAGATCCTGTCTCTACTAAAAATACAAAAATTAGTTGGGCGTGGTGGCAAGTTCCTGTAATTCCCAGCTACTCGGGAGGCTGAGGCAGGAGAATCGCTTGAACCTAGGAGGTGGAGGTTGCAGTGAGCCGAGATCGTGCCATTGCACTCCAGCCTGGGCAACAAGAGTGAAACTCTATCTCAAAAAAAAAAAAAAAAAAAAAAAAAAGTTTTAGAATTCTTTCCACACCTGCATCTGTAGGTTGACCACTTTTCAAGGATAGAGGCTATTTAACATTTGGTGTACATTGTGATGTATGTAATTATTTCCCTACCAACAGCTCCTTAGGTTGTCATCCCCCCACCCTTCTTTTTTTGACTATTAAAACTGCTACATCCAGAAGTCCAGACCGGGGTCGCTGACAGCTCCTCTGTTGTCCAGGTGTTCTCTTCAAGATTCCATTTGGCCATGCAGCCTTGGAGACATAGGAATGGGATGGAACTTGCTATGTTTATGTTTAATCTCTTACCTTATATGCGTAGTGTTTCTTTTGAGTTGTGAATAAATATTCCATTTTGTTTTCTCAAAAAAAAAAAATCACAGCTGTATGAAATATCTGTGTACAGACATCTGTGAGCATATTTTTTGAGGATAAGTTTCCAGAAGTAGAATGGGCAACTCAAAAGTTAGATGCCCATTTTAAGTTTTGATAAGTCTTGCCAAATTGTCTTCAGTAGTGTATACTTCTACCAAAACGGTATATTTTGCACCTGTTTCCTGAAATGCTCATCCACATTCCATGCTCTCAATCTTTGGTTTCCCAATCTGATTGGGGGAAAAAAAAAGTCGTTGTTTTATTGAAGCAGCAGCACAGCCTAGCGGCTAAGAATGCAGGTCCCGGGCTGGGCTGAATTCGGACTCCATCATTGCTTATATTAGGGACGTTTTTATTACCTCAAGCAGTAAGATAATAAAATGCAACTCATTGTCAAATGGGGATAGTAGTATCTCAGTTTCCTCACTTGTAAAATTAGGATAATAGTATCTTCCTCATAAAGTTATGAGAATAAAAATATTTGGCACATTTATGTGGTCATAAATTTTAAATAATATTATTACTATGCTTGTGGATGAGACCTGTTTTCTGCTCTGCCCCCTTTCACTTCAGTGTCACTGCTTTCTTTGCCTTCTCTGCTTTGAGTCTCGTTGCAGGCCTGAGAAGTTGTCCCCATTTGTCAGGTGAGAAATGGGAAAATGGTGGGAACAGGATAAAAGGGAGCAGGAACAAATAGCTCACAGAGACCTGAAGGCCATCTGTAGCTGACTCAGTGGAGAACATTTTTCTAGTGTTCGTCATTTCTTTTCTTTTTTTTTTTTTTTGAGACAGAGTGTCAGTCTGTTACCCAGGCTGGAGTGCAGTGGCTATTTCCACATGTGATGCCACTACTGATCACTATGGGAGTTTTTCCTGCTGCATGTCCTGCCTGAGCTGGTTCACCCCTTCTTAGGCAACCTGGTGGTCCCCTTCTCCCTGGAGGTTACCTTATTGATGCTGAACTTAGTGCAGACAATGATCAGCATAGCCCACTACAGCCTCACCTTCCTGGATTCAAGCCGTCCTGCTTCAGCCTCCGTATTAGCTAGGGGCTACAGGAACATGCCAACACTCTTTTGTGGCTATACCCTCTTTTTGTGTGTGTGTATGTAACTATGCAAATCTCACTACAATGTGGCTATACTTTAAGAATAAATATGTGGCAGGGCACGGTGGCTCATGCCTGTAATCCCAGCACTTCGGGAGGCCGAGGCGGGTGGATCACGAGGTCAAGAGATCGAGACCATCCTGGCCAACATGGTGAAACCTCGTCTCTACTAAAAATACAAAAAATTAGCTGGGC